GGACGCCGGTTCGATTCCGGGTCCGTCTGCCTTGGTCCAAGTTTTTCTGTGGTTTCCTTGGATCACTTAGGCAAATGCTGAGGCAGTAATATTCCACAGATAATCTTTCACTCACCACCCACCCATTCCCACGATTCCCGAAAGGAGGCTGTTAAGACTTGTGTATATTTTTTAGTAGGTTATAGTTATTTTAAACTTTTTTATTTCTATAATTTAATTTCATCAAATTCCTTTTCGTAGAACGTAAGTAATAGTGTATTTATATTTAAACTTTCTAGCAGTATATTTACCAAAAGTTGTATGTATCACTATCGTTCAGGTAATTGGGTTTTGCCAAAAGGTAGTTGCACATTTACCTGAATTAGAGTAATGACCCTGTTGTCATGGAGATTTGCACCCTCTTTGCTATAGTGTGCACTATTCTCATCCGCATATAAATATGCATGTTCATCCAAAAACAGGCATTCAACATTCATTCATTATCATTCAACATTCATTATTCATTACTCAATATTCAGCAATCAGCATTCACATTCGCATTCACATTTCACATTCCAGCAGTTATCATTAACATTTTATTTTATTCAAGCAACTTCTAATTTTCATTTAGTAATCTTGTACAGTTTTGTATTTATTTAGTGTTAAGATTGTAAATATAGTTTTTTACTGTTGCGTCCGAATTTTTATTGAGCTACGAAAACAAATAAGTGTTCGGTGCCATTTTGCTACCCGCAATTTACCAACAGCACCGTTTAAGTCAAAACAATCTGTTAATTTCTCTGGAGCTCCAGATCGTGGTGGTGGACGATGTAAGCGGTTACCAAAGAAATAAAGATGAATTACTATAAATATTTATGGAATTAATTGTATTCATCTTCTTATAATTCATAATAAACAATTATTCTCTTAATTCCAACATAAAATAAGTCTTGATTATTTAAAATACATAATTGTTTATACAAGTATATTATTTACAAATTTTATTGATTTTAACTTTGGCAGAAAGTTGGTTGTCACTAGGTCAACTCTGGCACATCTTTGAGATTCATCGTTGGCCCAAGCTTGTATGTCAAGCCAGGTCCGAAGTTATCATTCGGTAGTTCAACCATATCTGGCCCAGAGTTGTAATTCAACCTTTTCCCAGAGCTCATGACTGGCAAGCCAACTTTGGCCAACACCGAAACCAATCGTACTTTCCTACATGGTTTTGTGGGCCCTTTTTAACACCATGGATCGCAAAACTATATACTAGTTCCACCTATCTACCTTTTCTTAGGAGTGCGTGAGGTCGAAAAAGGTTCCGAAATTCGGAATAATAAGTGTTTTCTATGAAGATAAGCAAAAGGTCCAGAACTAGTTCACAATTCACTGAAAAAGCCCATACTATTCCTTATTGAGACATCTTCAGGACGATTATTAGATATTCAGTTTATTGGTAAATTCTACGTGTTTCATTCTCACTAGCTACTAATTCTGGAGAGTGAGGATACCCACTCTTACCTACATTTAAGTACGACCTCGGACGGTAGGACGGAAGACCATCTTCAGCATCCTTTTAGGAGTAGNTGGGGGAGACCTCCTCTTTCGATTCCCCCACCCCCGAAGGGGGGATCGTCTAGACCTTTACTCTTCTTTTTTATTTTTAAAAGTATTTCAAAATACCTTTCAACTAAGGACTGAATATATCGTTTTGTTTTCAAGAATGTAATCTTTTCCTATAATTTGTTAAGTTCTTCATATTCATTTTTTCATTTCTATAGTATACACTGGAGGTCCACATATTGTCTTATCATTGGAATTGTAAAATTTTCGAAAAGCTTGCCATCCCATGTAGGAACTGCCAGAGTTGACGATATGGTGAACTTTGACCCAACATTGGGTTGCCCAACATTGGCTGAATGGAGTTCATCCAAGGTTGGATCAAATCATTAGGAATACAATTGACCTTCCAAGAATGGGTAGCTCTCTCTGTCCCAGACCTGGATCAAACTTGACTATAATACCTTCTACTATATAATAATGAACCAGCTTTGGGTCAACTTGCATTGATTGAAGAGACGTTAATAGTTCTGTTCAAATAACTGATTTTGAAGGAAAAGGAGAAATAATTTTAACAATGTGTACTAGTACCTGGTCAATGAGAAACTCTTGTTTCAAAAGCTTCACTAGAGCAGGAACCTTATAATTCTTACACCAAACATCGACTTCACCAAGCGATGGATATTTTAATCATCACCTGATGAAGTCAATATTAAACAATTGTATTGTTGCTACTTTAATAATAAATCTTTTCAAACAATGTTTCCAATTCAGTTTAACGCATCATGTTTATGATTGATTAGTTTTTTTCTGTAGTTTTTGAGAAATTAAGTAGCTTGCCTTTATTATGTCTATGAAACAATTTTATACTGTTGCTATCTAGGGAATGATTGTAGTTTTGTCATACAATCGTGGACCATACCAGTATACCACAAAAATTCAATCAGGAAAGACTTACTACAACACTTTTAATTAACGCGAACACGCGTTTTTACACATGTCAGCGTTCACTAAAAGTGTTGTGATTAATCTTTTTGTTTTCATTATTTCTATAGCCATAGTCTCGTTTTAATCGTAGAGGTGTTATTTTGTGATTGACGCATAATTATTTATCTCAATTTAGTCATAGCTCAGTGTTAACAGCTTGGTTTTAGATTATTTCTATAGGGTGCAACAATGTCGGGGGATGTTCTCTGGTTATCCAAGAAAAAAACAAGGACAAACAACATATAGAACATACGACTATTTGAAAACAACAACTATCTAAGCATTCTAGATTACAGGATTTTACTTATTAGGTGTGTTGTTATAGTCTCATTTATGTTGGGCATCCTGGTAGAGGGAGTACCCCCTACCAGACTGTTGACTGGATTCTAGACATTGGTATCAAGATTAGAATCTTAATTTGTACTATGAGACGGTAAAATTGCAACGATAAATATTACTTGGGATTAATAATGTGCGAAGTTTAGAGGAAAATTGTAGTTACTTACTCCGTTGTGAAATGTTGCCCAAAATGAAATCCCAAAATGGCACTTTTTCAACCAATTTCGTTAGGTACCAACAAAACTATTTTCAAATTATTTGCTACATAAAATAACAAAAAAAAAATAGCACGGTCTTATTCACGATTAAACCGAAAATAAAGCATATAAAAACAAGGCTATCACTTACTTTATTGATTTACACTTCGGTTCCACCTGCTCAAGTTTGTTTGATCAACTTTTTAGCACCTAATTATGATTAATATTGATTTTGATGAGGCTACGTATAATGCACTGTATACCTGCGATTTTAAACGTGTTTTTTTTACCAAAGTTTACGATTATTGATGAACATTTATAACGAATTAATATAATTTTGTTGTCTCGCACTCACTGCATGTATGTGAACCACCGATACCAGTATAGTAGTTACATTGAAATTGTATTATCTGCTACGATAAAAAAGATAAGGTTCTACGCTATATGATGATGATAAATATTTTAATTTCTTTGAATGTGTGTGATTCATTTTGTTGGTTTAAACTANCCACTAGCTACTAATTCTGGAGAGTGAGGATACCCACTCTTACCTACATTTAAGTACGACCTCGGACGGTAGGACGGAAGACCATCTTCAGCATCCTTTTAGGAGTAGTGAGAACATTTGGGTGGTAGTTAGAGAGAAACAGATGATTCAGGTAATATGAAGACACAAAAGAGTAGTGAAAGATTTTTTGGGAATATTACTTCCCTCCTGCATCTGCCTAAATGATTATTGGAAACCACCGAAAAAAAAAAAATACGCACCAGCACAATATTTTGCTTTAAGAAACAATTTTTAGCAAACTTAAGTCAAACAGTGGTAGGTATTCTTTCAAATACTAAACCTGCATTTAGACTTTAAATCTCGTGGTTTGGTGGTCTACAAGGTACCTACAGAGAATAAATACAGGGTGCAATTGCTTGAGGAGCTTGCAGGAGGTAACAAACCACTATAAAACAAGGAAGTAAATATTTGTACGTACGAAATTCACCGTTTTCGAGTACCATGGTATGTACTTAAAGGTACAGGCAAATGCTACTTCAGCCTTAGTGAGAAATACGAAAACGTAACGCCGTATTCAGTTAGCACTAAGTTTCATTCCTTGACAACAGGTTAGTGTATCACTGTACAACAGTTATTGTTATTACTCTTAGCGACGTCATCTTTCGCTTTTCCGGATTGGACTGGCTGGTTTGTTGTTGCTTGGTATCAGAAATTACTAATACATTGGGGAGTCATTCAGGAAGGAAGAGAGGAGGATGGAAACCTGGAAACAGACAGATATATACCACCAAAATAGTAAACGTGAAACATTACTACTCTCATGCAAGAATGTGGAACAGTTACAGTATCCCTATCATTTGCATTGGGCGCAAGCTTTACGGCATACAGATTTTTAACCGCGAGATGACTAGTGTCAGTATTTTTGGCAAAAAAGTGCTGGAGAAATTAATAAGAATGTTTACAGACGAATGTTACTTCGTCAGAGATGGAATTTTGAATTATCATGATCATTAATTCTACTAGTGATCTCCTTTAGATACCTATTGTAAATTTGTTATTTAAGGAAAGGTACGGAGCGCAGGCAACCCATTTTGCCACAAGTGATACGTCTGTTTAACGTAGGGCGGCGCAGTCCATGTGTCGATCGAGGTGGTCACGACGAAGGGAATCGGGCAATCGGGAAAAGGTGAGTGGCTGCCATTTGTTGAAGATGTGTTGACGGATCTCCCGTTAATAACAAGAAAGTCCAACTAATTGTAAAGGTACACATACAACGCTCTTCTGTGGTGTTACTTAATACTTATAGAGAAATAGTAGATGTCAGATCTGATCCGTTTTGCTGTTATTTCATTTAATTGATTAATTTACATTTTCCATTTTAATTTTCGTTTTGAGTTTTTTGAGACGTTTGTAACAAAAATAAATTTGGTGATATTCTATTTTGACATGTTATTTATTTCTTACCCAATACTCCGCCACCCCGGTTCAATATAATAATTTTCCTGAAAACCCCGCGATTTTACGTTAACACATTTTATCAATTAAATAAAAGAAATTAAGCGTCTCAAAACGGCGCATTACATGATGTGTTCCAAATCCAAATGTCGTGAATACTTAGTAGTCTGGATCTAATTCCGCTGGACTTCTTTATTGTACGGGATTCTATTGAACAGCACGTGTATCAAACGGTAGTGCGTAATACTAATGATATGCAGAACCCTGTGATCGTTACAAATGATATATGTCAAATGCCTAACGATTTTGCGAGAATTTGGGAAATAATTTTGCTAGACGTCGAAGCCTGTCTTCTATCACGCGGTTCTAATTACGAACAATTTTTGTAGTGTATGTACGTATGTGTGTATTATAACTGGTATTCCTAGAACCAATAACTTCATCAAGTACTAAACGACAAGTTGTTTTTGTCCATCTAATATGCAACTGCTCAGTGCTTATTGTAATTTGTACTCAAAGAGTTAGGTGTAACGCAACCACGTTGTCAAATTACGCCCAGGATCGGCTTCGGATTGTTTTTTTTTTGCCCTTAATTACGCTGCTAATACTCACCATGCGATTCCGTATTGCATTTGGGGGAGACCGGGGATGGTTGACTAGTTTTTTACTGAATAGTTCATATTTTTTGTGTTTTAATGAATATAGACAAGAAAAGCATGTTAATTGATAGAAAATCTATTAACCTAATAAAAATATGTAATATTTAGTTCTTAGTTTAGTATAATAGTGATGATTTAATGCATTTTACAAAATATTAAATCTTAGTCAATCTACCCCTGGCCTGGGGTAGGTAGACCATATGCCCGGGCTAAGTTGAATCATGTACCAGTAAGAGTCAAATCATGAGAAGGAGCAAATAATTAAACATTTTTTTAATATAATTGAACCTTTTGTTAAAAAATAAACTGGCTAAAGTTTCCTCTTCTAGATTAGTAAAAATTTGTCAATTTTTTATATATTCCACTGTGTCCAGGGTTAATTCTGCTCTCGTCAATTTCGGATTCTGTTCTAATTTTTCTTTTAATTTGGCCACGCAACGATTTAAAAGTCCAATAAAAAGTTAATTTATGTGTTGTTTTCAACTACATATTTCATTGGGGTTGGTTGAATAATTATTGAACCAATATAATAATAATTATTCAACCAACCCCAGACGCCATTTTTAATTTTGATCGCATGGCTAGCCTAAACACTGCCGTTGACTTGAAAAATAAGATATGAAATATGATAAATGTGCCCCCATTAAATGCTAGGACTAATAGAAAAATGATTTACATAAAACGAGTAGGCATCAGATCAAAAAATACAATATATCAAAATATTACTTATGTAATTGAAATATGAAAAACATGTCAGTGTTCGAAAACAACGCACGACCGCGATGTGACGCTTCAGACAACTGAGCGGGACGCGAAATGTAATGCTTGGTTATGATCAGATGACATATCTAGTTCATACATTGTCGAAAAGTTTTCGGTAGTTAGTCTACCTACCCCTATAGTCAACTATCCCCGGTCTCCCCTAATTGATATCCTCTAAAGCTCCTCACTCATTTCCGTCACACCCTGTATATGACATAAAAATAATATACAAAATACTTTAATTGAATTAGTTTCACATTAATATTAAAAGCTCCATAATGTGTTTCATTTATTGATACAAAACTACATTCAGATATGTATATTTTTATTACAGAAGGTAACTGTGGCAGTGTACACAATAATACATGCAGCAAAAAAAATAATACAAATGAAAAATTGATTTTTTAAAAGTTAAAATAGATAAAGGCGTTTGAAAAAAAAAATATATGTACCTAAAGTAATACTATACTATTACAATAAAAATATGGCAGCGTTAATAAATATAGGTAGAAAGACAAAATTACAATTTAATAAAAATGTTTATGTGACTCGAGTATATGCAAGAGGTTGCTTTTATCGATAAATAATTATTAAATAGTCGATTGGTTAAACATATTTTACACGTCAAGCTATACAACATCAAATAATAATATAAAAAATTTCAGCTGTAATAAAAATAATTTATAAAGTTACGTACAAAACAACATATCTTTTAATTCTTAACAAAGGGTTCATAATTAATTTAAAAATAAACAACCTGACGAGTTCAAATAAATATAAAATAATCCTACAATAAATAATAAATAACTATTATTGGGCGTCAGTTTTTTAGCATGTTACCATCTGTCATTTTATTCTTAAGTTTATTTTTAAAATGGTCACGGACAGCCTCTAAAGCACATCGGTATAATGATATTCTATACAGTGGGGTCACTTCTTTGATTTGATCTAAAATGTCGGCGTAGTTTGCAGGAGATCGTAAATCATTCCAATAAGCGCTAAATCTGTATTGTGACTTCACAAAGACAGGCCTTCTTCAGCGGGGAATTCGGTAATAAGGTGGTGAAGTGTCATCAGGAGGATGAAGTATGTGTGTGTCTAGGAAGTCTACTGTATAGAACACCTTTATACTGTGTATTTCGAGAGTATACACAAGCCAAATACGTGGTGATAGTATGAAGATACTTTAAATGAAGGTATTTTTAGAATATATAATAGAGTGTTGTCTTCTCCTACTATAAACCTTATGATACTAAGTATTGCGCATACATGTTGCATGTATAAATAGCGAATTGTATACACGTACTGTATGTATCAATAGGCACATCCCAATTTTTAAAATATTAACACATGGGTACAACTCATATTTAGACATTACCTACTAAAATAGAAAAAGTACCGATTTTATATGTGAAACATTTGTATTTTGCTTGTGTTTTGATGAGTAGCATCTTGCCGCTCGGTAGTACATCTGTGGGTCCATGGGAGCCATTTCGTGAATGCAACTAAAACGCGTAACCGGAAGTAGGGAGCAAAAGAAGCGCGTGCTATTCAATCGATAATGTCTGCAGTTGGCGCTTGAAGAGGTGGAGACAAAAAAAAGAGAAAGAAAACAAATCGATCCGTGACCTTGATTTTGAATAACACGATATATTGCTAGGCTTCCTGCAATTGGCGCTTGAGGGGGCAGAAAAAAAAAAGAAAGAAAGAGAACACAGCTGTCAACCAATGGATCGGTGACCTTGGTTTTGAAGAACACGATATATTGCTACGCTGCCTGTAGTTGGCGCTAGAAGAGGTGGAGAGAAAAAGAGATAAGAAAACCACAGCTGACAACCAATCGATTGATGACCTTGGTTTTGAAGAGCACGATATGTTGCTAGGCAGCCTGCAATTGGCGCTTGAAGAGGCGGAGAAAAAGAGAGAAAGAAACACGGCTGATAATCGATAATCAATTGATCTGTGACCTTGGTTTTGAAAAACACGATATATTTCTAGGCGCCCTATGTTCTGAAATTACCAGTTTGCTCGATACCGATGTTAGATGTTACACGTCAATGATGACCACTGTCAGATTTGCATTTTGTCTTCTTATCAGTTTATTACGGTGTTAAGTGAAAAATAAAAAAGTATTGAAACTAAACGGTCAGTTATGAATACAAACATGCGTACTTATGTATCCATTTATCTATTATTATTATTATTATTTACAAAACGCTATATTTTTACAAGCTACTATTTGTACGTTTTTAGCAGACTTATTCGACCTCTGAAAAGCCAACACGAAGTACAACACACGAAACTAATTTGCACCCAAAAGGTTTACGTAATAATTAATATTATCTAATAATAATAATGATCGTCATCATTATTAAAACCGTCGTCGATTTATTTATTTAATAAAAAAAATACTGTAAGGTAAATTTTACATATTATGTAATAATAAAAAGGGGGCAGCTAATATCTGGCAGTAAAAAAGATCATTTTCTTTTTTTAACGAATATTTAAAGTGTAAATGTGTATATATGGTTAAAATGCACTGGCAGTCTTGGATATTGTCATGATTTGTTTGATTTACTGTAGTAAAAATATTTATAGGGGAATAAAAATGACTATTATNATAATAATAATAATCATCATAAATACTTCTAAGTTACTTCTAAAAGCAATCCCACAGAGGGATCCGGCACACACTGACCGCAATAGCCTCCACATTGGCCCACTGCGATGTAGTCCTGAAAAAAAGAAATATCCTTAAAAACTACCAATTTACCATCCCTAGATCTGGAAAATTGTTTAATTTTAAATTGTTCTTGTGCGAATAGAATGATAGTTAGCATTTCAGAGTAATATCGGCACAATACATATATCGACTACATAGGGACGTAAGGAATTGATGCAATTGTGAATTTGAATGTCAAAAAAAGTTTCCGTCATATTATAAATTAGAAAAAGATCGTTCATTATTACTTTTCATTTGTTTCACACTTTTATCACACAATGCAAAGTTAAACCTCAATTACCAAGGTGATGCTAAAATTATGAAAACTTACGCTTTTATCTATTTCCATGCTGGCATATTGGCCTTTCGATACCCATCGTATGCTCTTGGAAAGTCTGAAGGAAGTGTCTCTCAAATCTATTGAGAAGCGACCTTGGGGACATGTCCTACTCATACTGTAACAATCACCAGCACTTCCGTAATCTATTTGTCGCCCCTCCAATTGATAAGAGAAGCTAAAGTCGTTAGCTGTAAAAAGAAATGGTAAATTATGAAGAATCAGATGCTTTAAGCGATTACTAAGCACATTTTTGAATTTGAAAAGTTAAGATTACCATAATAAATATTAATCGTTAGATAATTGGCCATCCAATATTATTATACTTACGTATGATCAGCATAGTCGTTATGTTGATTCGAACTTTTTGGAAGCTTGTCAAGCCGTATCTGTCGGGTCCTATGGAAGTACAGTCACAGTTCTCTCTACTTTGACAAGTTTCGATGTCTACCAATCTTAAATAAAAATATTAAGTGAAACAGTAGGTACTTATCAAATATTTATGATTTTGTGATGATTTAAAAGGTTTGATTATGTCTTTCATGATCTTTATGTAACTTTTGAAGGTTTTTTTTATTTTCTTGACTTCTTGGCATCAAAACTTTGCGCTTTATTTAAAGGTACCTATCTTACCTATCCGCAGTAATGATATGCGAAGACTAAAAATGAGATTTACCTTTTGTTAAAATATTCTGCATAGTTATTCTCGTTTTTCAAAGTAATAAATTCTTGAGGTTCAGCAGTGTCCATTCGGTGACAGTAAATCGATATCTGTTTTTTATTGATCCATATTTTATACTCGCCATCTTTTTTGGTACCTTCGCCATATTTGATGTCAATACACGACTTATGAAGAACTGTTTCAACATATTATTATTATTATAAACAAACAACAATGTCAGTAGTGTTTGTTTTGATAAAATCTCTAATATTGTACTTATAAAGTAGGTAATCGATAGAAATAATTGCAAATGGTTTGCATAACACAACTTCATATAAAAGAAATAATAATTACTATGAAACTATTTCTATATTACCAATGTTTCATAACGTTTTTGAATAACTATACATTGAAGTCTCTTTCTTTACTTCAACTTGTAAAATGATACAGAAAACATCATTCTGGTCAAGAAAATGCCTCAATTAGATTAAATATAGGTGAATTAAGCTAAATGATATCAATAAGTTAGCCGAAAAAACATCAAAAAGCCTTAGTACTTTAGTTAGTTAATTGATTCATAACTTTTTTAATATATAGAAATACCATTTAGCTTTTACTTTTGAAGTATGATATACTTAATTATTTTGTTACTTTCAATATTTTAGAAAAATTGTGTTTTTAATAGAAAATTGATTATCAGTTTACTTACGGCATTTCTGTTTTCTACGTGGTTTCAAATTGCGGGGACATAATGTTTTTCCAACTTTCCTTCCATCTCTGCTTTTACAATGAAGATTTCGAATTTTTCGTCCTTTTCTACCCTTAAAAGGCATACACTGAAACAGAAAATTTAGTTGAGAGTTTTTCTTGAAGTGAATTTTTTGCGATAAACATCGACTCCACTATTCATTTTTAGAGCATTCACGTCTTCTCCTTGATATAAGTATGTATACTTACGTCTCCCCATGGATCGGCTGTCCAGAAATAATTGTCGTTACAATTGCGATCTTTACACATGCGCTTTGTAATTGGTTTCTGACTTCCATAACAACTTAAAGGATGAACTGGACTGTCGATGACGAATCCATTACTACTCGAAGATATTCTATGGCATGTCACCGTTCTCGTCTTTATTCCATCGCCGCACATCTCTGAACACTGCATTAAAGAAAAACAAGCAAACGTTATAACAAGTTTCAGCGATTAAAGCTGATAAAAGGTTTTGTTTAATTCAATTACAATATAAGAAATTATTAGAAAATACCTCCGACCATGGTCCTTCTATCCACGCATATTCGCAATTGTAACGCTCGCAATTTTGAATCGTTTTTGGTTTTTTCGTATGACCACAGAATGAATCGACAACTTCAACATTCTGTTGAAGTGCTATGCACGAAACAGTTCTTCTACGTCTTCCTTTCCCGCAGGTTTCTGAACACTGTACAAAGAAAAAAACTAATTGAAGTACTAAAACGCTACAAGGATCCCCGATTGATCAATGTCCATTAAACTAGAAGATTAAGTGATACTAAAAGTGATTACGAAGTGAAAATGAGAACTGTATGGACGAACGCAAAACTAAATTTGCAGCTGAAAATAACCAACTTTGCACCAATTTTCAATTACTCTTTTTAAGTAGGTAGGTAGGTACCAAGTTTAAAAACATTAAAAAAATTACTTACTCGATCCCATTTTCCAACCTTCCATTCATAATTATTGTTGTCGCAGCCTCCTGGATTTGTCTTTGGATTACATTTGTCTTCATTCTTCAAAGGTTTATCTGCAATAGTAAAGAAAACCACCGGAATGATATTGCGACTAATTAATTTCATGATCATTATTTATAATTTACCTCTATGCTGCACTTTTACTGGACAAGGTCCCATATTGCAGGGCACTTCATCCTTAGGTTTCTCATTCCGATCGCACATAGATTCAAATTCATCACCCCTTCCATCCCTACAAACTACAGCTCTGGCCATGTAACCCCCTCCACATGTTTTTGAACACTGCAAGCATCGAATAACTAAGTTAACGGATATACTTAAAGCCATAATCCCATGAATCTAAGTGTGTTTGGGATTTACCTGTGTCCAAGCTCCTGAGATCCACCTGTACTCCCCAATATTATTGGAAGCGTGGTAGGAATGGATCTTGTTCACGGTACTTCTTCTTCCTGCATTACTGTTAATGGTATCAACAAAACTGCCGATTTCAGGACATGGATCTTTGACACATACACGTGTTCCATTCGGCTTTAAATAACCTTTACAATTTTTCTCACTGGCCACCTTTCCCCACATCCAGCAATACACCTTCCGCGTTTGGACACCTTGATCGCAGGTAACACTGCAGCCGCCCCATTTGCCTGTTGTCCATCGTGCGCATGCTCGTTCTTCACACGCAACTGTCACGTTAGGTCGCGAGGATAAATCGCAAGCTTCTGGAGCAATCACACGACCGCCCACATTGCAGTAATATTCTCGCGTTTTGTAACCCTTGTCGCACGTGGCTGAACACTGAGAGTTGAAAGAGGGTAAGCGATTAACAAATGTGACATTTCAAGGGCAGAAATAAATTTAATCTATTTATGGATGTTGGACGAAAGAAAAATTTTTTAATGATTGGTGCATCCAAAATTATTAATGTGGTACAGTTTTACAACAATTTGGATCAAGTATTCTAGTATTGTGGTTACACTCAGTAAATGCATGTAAATAGAGAGGACTCACCGATGACCAACCTCCTTCAGTCCAATATGGACAGTTGTCGGTATTGCAAAATTCGGAAACGTGCTTTTCTGTATAACTACAGTAGGAATTGTCAACCGCCTGTCGCTGATTGTCAATACAATGTGCACTTCTCGTTCTCGTTCCAACTCCACATGTTTTTGAACACTGAAATAATAAGTTGTTCAATTGCCTTGAAGAACTTGCTACTATACCAAAACACTCAAATTTTTATTGTTTGAATTTTTATTTTTTATATTGAACTTCATTCTTTTAAATATCTAATTGATGTCAAACATATATACTCTTAGTTGAATACAAAAAGAGAACATATTATTGACTGATTGTGACCATACCTGTGACCATTCTCCATATTCCCATCGTGGTTTGTTACAAGGACCCTGGCAAGTTTCTAGTTTTGCTGGTTTTGGAAGAACGTTGCAATATTGATCATCAACAACTTCTTTGAAGTTTTCAGTGTAATATGGTTGATTCGTATCAATTTTTATACAATTGTATGAAACTGTTCTAACACTAGAGAGAAATGAAATACGTAAGCATATTTAATAGGAGAATCAATGCCCATCTATTTAATTCTACATGAGATTAAGGGCGAACCTACCCTTGTCCACAATGCACATCGCATTGACCCCTAGCTACCACATTCCACTCCAATTGGCAGTGTGTATTGCAATCCCTTGATTGAACTAAGTGATGGTTTTCAAACTCGGAACAGTATACGTCCAAAACAGGTAATCCTGACGTCAAATTCATGCAATTTGGTTGCATGTATTGAACACCTCCACAAATTGAATTACACGGTGACCAAACCTTTTTGTACAGTTTCCAGCCAAACCTTTACAGAAGCAAAACATTTATAAGTTGAATGGAAATGCTTGATCGATTTCCTATGACTTTTGCACCAATATAAAAACTGAAATCAACTTACTTAGGTACGATGTGCTTACTAATTGTATATTTGTAAGTAATATCTGGTGGCCACACTTTTCCAGCAGAAAGAACTTCAACGTAGAGGTCTTTTTTCAACTTCCTACGTGGAGGTGTCGAAATTTCTTCGACCACTGAATCTGACCCAGAGTATCTTATGGTTAATCCACCATATATTATATCTTTTAAGTACAGTGAAACAGACCTATTACCATTCAATATATAATGACCTGTTTCTCCATCCACTAGTGCTGTGGATAAATGAAGCCCATTACAAATGTACAATCCTTTGTTAACTTTTTCATAAAATGTGTTTAAGGGTAACAGTAACAGATTCAGTCTGACTTTGTAAGGCCTCGTCAAATACCGTGAAGTATATGGTTAGAAGTAAATATCTGTAGGTGGCCAGTTACTTGATGAATAGGTACTTACCCAAATAATTATCATCTTTATGAGAATTCCGATGTCCGCGCTGATATATATGAATGTTTAAGCTACCTTTTGGAATTTTAACCACCCTATTGTAGCCATAGACACTGTCGTTGAATGATCCCTGAATTTCCTCGCAGGTACTGTTATCTCCACCACAAACACCACAAGCATCTAAACCAAACGAAAGTGGAGTTACATATTTTAAATGAATAGTAACGAAGTTGCTAAGAAGTACACGGCTTTTTTTTGATTGCTGATGAAAGTTACGAAAACGAAAACTAATGTCGATGGTATTAAAGAAAATAAATGCATACCAAGTTCTGTTTTTGATTCAAGTTTATTATCGCAACCTCCAGGTCTACAAATTCCATTGACGCATATACCAAAGGAGGTGAGACCACACTTGGTTCCATCAATCACTTTGTCATTCAGTATGTAATCATTACTATCACCCTGAATTCTACAGTACAAGCGGCAGAGATCATCTGCGTCCTCTGAGAAAATAAATAAGATATAAACTTCGGTTAAGATTAATTGACTTAAAAATTAAATAAGCTTATTCTATGCATCATTTCTTACGTTTTCCATATTTTGGTATCCATTTTACATTAGCTGGTACTCCAGGAATGCCCTTATTTTTGTTATTATGTTCAGCACATTGAAGTTCTCTAAAATAAGTGACGGTAGGTATGAGCTAGACAATATAACTTTGAGGTTGATAATAGCAAAGAGTTTGTTGAATAATTAACATAGAACATTTTGAATTTACTACTTTTTCCCACTACTGACAATTGGTATGTGATGAATAATATATGAATGTAAAATCATATAAGCAATTAACATTGTATTTTACTTTCACAAACCTAAAATCGGGGGCACTTGCATCACAGGGTTTTGTGTTACAGGAAACATATCGAACGCTTCTACCAATACAGTACATTCCTCCATTCGCTGGCCGCGGAGAATCACAAGATCTCCTCGACATTTTGACACCACCTCCACAAGTTCTCGTGCAAGGCTCCCAACTAGAAACAAAAGCGAACTAAATACTCAATGCATTTCCTTTTAAATGTTGTGAAGTCTTGTATCTTATATATCATATATTCATACTTAGTCAGATTTATAGATACTTACGCTTGCCAAGGACCCCATCCGCCTGCTAATGGTTTAAGGAGTCCTCTGTCCAAAGCAACACATTTACCACGATGACACCAACTGTGGGAAAATAAGATTATAATAAAACATGAAAAAAAGTATCAGATTATTGTCCACAAGTCAATTTTAAAAGATTGAGAAAACAATAGATACCTGTTATGTCCGCATGATGTCCCATCTGCCCAAGGCATTGTTTGCGTTTTACAGCCTTCCTGTTCCATTAATTCTGTTGTGCACCACAGACTTCCACAAGGAGGCTAAATTAAAAGAAAAACAAAACTCTAGCTATTAAAGACAAATTTGAAGAGAGTTTGATGTTCGGACTTGATGGCTTTGATCCAGAATTAACCCTTTCAAGTAAAAGCGCGGATTGAGCCGTTAATCCAACTTGTTGGATGGCTTTATAATTCTTCGCTGCGGTTGTGTTAAAACTTCACCACGTTCCAGAAGAAGGCAAAGGTATCTACGAGAGAAAGAGAGTTAATCCTTCATTATCGCCATCAAATCCGAGTCTCAAATCCTTTTCAAATAACGTCGGACGTGAAAGCCTCAGCCTTTTTATCTGTTAGAGAGTAAAATTATTTACAGAAAGGGTCGTACCATAAAAGAGCAAACTTTAGACCCTCTTCCAAATTCAAGTTGACATTGTAAATCGACTTCGAAATGTTCCCCAGGTAATACGTTTTGAAAATTGGCAGTGACAAGATCTTTGCTAGGTTGATCCAGAAGGCAATCCGATTTTCCTGATCTAATAATTAAAACGTTCACGTATAAGATATAGGAAAGAAGGATGGAACAACAAAATTTGAAAGTATAAGTGTACATAATTAATAGCTTACTCTAAAAAGTGAGATAGAAAACTTTTGGAACAAGAAGACCAGGTCCACGGTTCTGAGTCATTTAACATTATTTTATTCATTATTCCTTTGATTGGACTATCATTGAATTTTACACAATCTTCCCCGTCATCGTGGGACATACTAAAATGTTATTGAATTATCAATTTTTTTTCTCAATATTGTATGTAATGCTCATTGTGTACCTAAGAAGGTGTCCAAGTTCATGCGCAATAGTAAACGAGGTCGATAGACCTTTATCCTTAACAATGGCACAACTATTTGAAGAGCACATCGAACTTCTTTGGGCTACCCCTAATAGGTTACAAGATGAATCTGAATGCTGTTTACAAAGTGCACCTCTAAAAACATATTGGATTTCATTTACCCTTCCATAATAATCGTATAGTGGTAAATAAATAAGTAAACATCAGCAAAGCTGCATCAACTGCAATACCTACCTTGTCAACAAAAGAGCAACATCATGAGGGTAATCGTGAACTTGAACATTTTGCCAATCACAAAATTTTTGGAGCATTTCTAAAAAGACAAGCTACATTTCGTATTTATGGTAAAGAGTAATTTAAATAAGGTACCTGATGACCATGAACTGGCAAAACTGATATCTTTCAAAATCCAAATTTTCACAACCGATAAGGAGATTGGATTACCTATTGATGCGTCTTTGAAAAGAAGAGCCACCTAAAAATATAAATTTTTCTATTTCTGTTGAAAAAAGCGGTTGTGTGCGTGTGCTATTGTACCCGGCTGAAGTGAATACTTCCATGATTCACTGTCGCATAAGAAGTATTTACTTCAAAAAGTGCTAGTTTTGGAATTCGTTAATTTGAGAAACATTAATAACTGAAGAATAACATAACAGGGGAACATACGTGAGACATTAATGTGAGAATATAATGTTTCAATCTCTCTTCATTTTTATGGTACTGATAGACAGTCATATCGGCAACTACCATAACTTCCACGTAATATTCTTGGTTAACGAATGTTTTAAATGTATCATCGTTTAACATTCTCGGGATATCTCTTGTAGTTCTACGCCCGTAAATGTCTGATTCAGTATGAGTTTCGTATTCTTCTACAGAATCAAAATATCCATATTCTATTTCTCGTTTCGATATACGATGCTCTGAACGTTTGCTATGTTCACCTTCGTTATTACTAACGACATCCTCGTCGAACTCTATACCTAAAGACAAAAAAAAATATTAAACTTACATGTGCTTTGACAATTGTAACTCACCATTTCCATTTTCAAAGTCCCATAAGTTGAAACCATGAGTAACTTTTTCTATTTTATGAGGAAAACTATCGTTGAAGTTTGTTGGTTGCGAGGTATCTTCTAGAGGATGAATGTAGTATATTCCTTCCGATGTTTTTATGTATCCAGACTGTAACAAAAGTGATCATCAAAAATCATGTTGAATTAAACAATTTCAAATTAACTGATGTTTAGTTTACATCTAAGTGATTAAAGTGTATTTAGATATTACTTGTGAAGTGTAAAACAGGGTTGAACGTTTTATTACCAATCAAAGAATACTTCAAGAGAATATTCGATCGAAATGAATTGAAATAGAAAAAAAGAAAATATTAAAATTAAAAGGTCCCTAAATGCATTTTGCATATTATAAAGTTGTTACGAAAGAAAAGAAAGTAAAATGAAACAGAAAAGGGATCAACCCTTCCAGGGGGTAACGAAAAATAATAGTAAAAATAACATTCAAAAGTACAATAGACATAAACTTGGAAGATAAGTTAATATTTGATTTATTCTTAAATCAGATTCAAAATTAAAATTTGTTGAAGCAAGATGCAGACAAAATTTTGAGGTTATGTCCAAAAATGCTGCAGTATCCCGTTAGCTACACTACTACTGCATTTTTTTGTGTAAAATTATTGGAACTTATAAACCAAAAAAGGGATAATAAAGAAGACTGTGGTAAGTAAACAGAATAATATCAAAGAAACTAATCCCTATACACCACAAACTGTTTTAAAAACGGGCACATGTTTCGCTTAGTTTGAATCTAGACAGTATACATACGAGATTGTCCGTTTTAAAAAAAATGTCTGTGGTGTATTAAGGCAATTCTCTTTGATGTTATTCTATGAAGTAGTAAGTTGGATATTTTCTTCCTTAAAAGTGATTTTTATTACCTACACAGGAATAATTTGCCTAGACGATAAACACCATAACTGCCTCAGAGACTGAATTACATATGCGGAAGATATACTAAGTATATTAAAATTACCATTTACCATTACTTCCTCGTAAAATAGATATTAAATGAAAAACTTTCTCTCATGATGACTACGACGAAATTTTAAATGATAATAAAATTTTAAATGGACACTTCAAAAGAAAATACGTTCAACAGTATTTACTTACAAATACAACGCAACAATCTCAATTTACAATGCAAATTAGGTACATTAGAACCAGCCAGTAGTTTTCCAATCGATATTTACTTTTTTATAACTCAAAGTTACATGCATAGTGCATTTAAAGTATTCCCAGAGTGTAAGTTGACATTTTTATTATTTTTTTTAAGTTAAGACGAATGAAGCGAGAAAATAAGTAAAGGAACCCAAGATCCGGCATTTGTCTAGATGATCCAAGGAAAAGGCAGAAAAACGTGGACCAAAATAGACGTACATACTAGAATCGTACCGATGTTCTACCGAATCCTAAACCAATTACAAATTGGAGTACTGGACCAGTAACATTATTAGAATCAGCTGGTGGGAATGAGACACAAAGTATTTTCCCGAAAGTGTTAATCGAGTCCATGGACTGAATGTGAGACCATAGTATTTATAATGTTTGGGAAGACACAATTCGATGCGATCCCTGGAAGAGACTCAAAGGAGTCTTACTCACTACTCTGTTCTACAGTGTAGGTCAGCTAAATCTGAGCCGGGCAAACTTTTAACTTCGTAGGAGCCGCTATCTGAGGTTAGTTTGTGTCACTCCATACACTTCAATGAGTACAAGAGAGTAAGCAGTAATAACCTATATTGCTTTCCCTCTTTCTTCTCCCTTCGACTTCTATATCGAGCTCCTACAACCCGTAGATAAGCGAAGCCTCTCTCACAACTTAAATAATACCTACGAAAATTTTTTAATGATCGTCCCGTAGCTCAGGGGTAGCATGCCGGACTACGTTCGCAACACTATTGGGTTCGGCTATGGAAGAGGGGCTCACCTACGAAATGGATGGGATAAGAAAAGGAAAGAATCATCTCACTCGCACTTGCAGGAGCAATGAGGAGCTCCTTGGGAGTCAAAAGGGCCGAGTCTGCCCGGCTCTGAGCTAGATGGCTCACCCACCAGTTTCAAGAATATCAATATATCAGGTCTTCCCTGAAGAAGATAACTGCAAATGCTCACGAAACTTATACACAAAATAAAACTCAATGTTTATTTATTTCTAAACAGTCGAATCAATAACTTCTTTTTCTGATAAAAATAATAACTCATCTGAAATATTATTATGGACAGGTACCTTTGAATGTCTTGAAGTACCTGAGCGATTTTTCAACGTGTGTTAAGACCAGTAACAAGTAGATAAACAAAAACAATTTGTAATAATGTTACATCATATCGAGGACAAGTAATAACAAAAAATAATCAAGAACAAATTCGATGACATTGTTAAATGTCAGACTATACTTTTATGGCGAATCTATTACTTGATGTTTCGTGACCGGCTTTGTATTTGAAAAATCTGCCAAGGTTCTTACTTTCCCATTTTACCAAATAAAACCTAGTGGTAAGAAATCATAGAAAAAAAAAACATGATAACAAAGCCAACATACGTATTTATGAATGGTGGTCGGAAAAACCTTGACTTTTTCATATGGTCAAACAATTTACCGGCAATCTTTAAGTATCTTACATTTACATTAAAAGCTCTTTATTCGCGGGGTATACGTTCCATAAATATGCCGCGAATACAGAAATTGTGGATATTGAATGGTAATAAGTATGGAATCACAGGGGATACGTTCTAAGATTCCGAAATAGAAACCAATATGTATCAAAATAAAATCAATGTATTGTTAAATTCGCAATTAAAATTGATCGTTATAATCAGCTTTAGGCAAGAGTTTAAAATATTGTGATTTTTTCTTGTTTTGAACTTTGAAATTAGTCCACTCGGTTACATCTTTTAGAAAAGTCGCCTCAGCACGAGCCAACAGTACTCAAAAGACCTTCTTTTCTATTCAAATGATGCCGATACATTGAGGGGATTCAGTGGTACACGCGCCATACAGTAAATACATGCTTATCGGTTCTAGATATCAAGAGTTTAATATTTGAAAGAGAGGTTTGAAATTTTGTAGTAAGATAGATACAGCTTTGTTCTAAAGCTTGTCGAAGGGCATTTCTTAATTTTTTAATTTCTATTGAAAATACGTGTCCTACAAGAAACATCAACTTTAAGCACTTGTAAAAGCTTTTAATGACCGTATTAATGAAAACCAAAAACGTACCGAGTTAGTGTGAACC